GCCCATTTCTTTATTAATGCCAGTTAGGACAGCAACTCTCGTCAATTGGTTCCTTTTATTAAACACCGTTAATAGAAATGCAAGGTAGCGGAACTATTATCTGCATAAAAAATGTAATCGGTGAACCGATGAGTGTTCATGCTCACTTAACTCTGAAGTCCTTGGGAAAAGCATAAATCTACATCCTAATGCTTTGTCCCATTGTCAAATATCCTGACAAAAAAGTCTTATTTTTTGCATGTCACAAATGGCATAAAAAAAAGAGTTGGTGAGTGAACATTTAGATAAACAACTCTTCTACACATTATCAGATGTCAGCAGACATGATAAAAAGTTGTCAGTGTTTTTTTCTGATTTTTTTAAATAATTTGAAGAAAATTATAAGAATATGTTTCATTAAAGAAGACAGACAAGGTACTGTGATTAAGCTTTTTATTTAATTTTTCTTGTGTTTGTACAAATGTTTTCTTTTCTGCACACAGAATGTGTAGAAACAGTCCAAATCCTCAAAAATAAAAACACATCTGCAAAATCAAAACTACAACGAACAAACATTATTTAGGAGTTCAAATGCCCCTTAAGGAACTGTGTTCTTGATCAAACCAAACTCATAAATAATTACATCAGTGACACCACTACATTCCTATCCAGATGATTTACATTACACCTATCCAGCCACAGCTCCATTAGAACTCATTTATACATACACTAAAACCTAATAGAATCCATTTGAAACATACTAGTAGAAAATACAAGCATAAGGCTCTCTGTGCCGTGCCAGGAAATTTTTCTCCCCAGAATCGATACTTCAAATATACAAATCAACCATTCGCCCTTGCATGGAGTATTGCTGCCATATATGGTCTGGGGCACTTTCTGTTTACCTCGGAGTTCTTGACAAGATCCAGAGATGGATATGTAATATAATTGGCCCTGATCTGGTGTCTCGTCTACAGTCACTCTCTCTCACAGGCCAGCGCGTCGTCTCTCTCTGTCTTTTCTACAAATACTTTCTTGGTAATTGCTCCGATGAGCTGCTTTCACTGGTTCCCAGACTCCCATGAATTAAGCCCCCTCTGAGGCTGGCATCCGCTCCCACCCTTACACTGTAGAAACTTTTAAATGTAAGCTGTCTCTTCTACTCCAATAGCTTCATACCTCGCACATCTCGCCTGTGGAACACCCTTCCCAATTACTGTTTCCCTGAGAGCTATAATCTCCAACTATTCAAATGTAATGTCAATCGACACTTCCAGTTACCTTGATCTATCCTTCTCCTCATCCTTTCTTCTATCACTCCTATCTGCTCTTGCTCCAAATCTTCTGCAACCCCTGCATCGTAGTGGCTTCACGCCTTACTCGAGGCGTAATGCTTAAAAAAAAATAAAAAATAATAATCTCATCCACATGTAAAAAAGAAAAAAAGATTAAAAATAATGGAAGCCTTAATAATAAAAAAGAAAAAGCTAACACTTAATATTAACTACGAACATGGTCACAATGTGCTGACAGTGTTTGGAAAATAAAACATTCCTATAACTGTAAATACATACATAACACAACCCATACATCTAGTTAAAAAGTAAAAATAAAATCATCCTTGACTAAAAGTAAAGCCAAAAGTGCTCAGAATTAACAGAACATTTGGACAGTTTCTATACACTGTGTGTCCAGAAAAGAAAACACTTGTTTGTATACAATAAAAATTAAATGAAAAGCTTAATCACAGTACCTTGTCTGTCATCTTTAATGAAACATGTATAAAAGAAGGATTGCTGTCTAAATACTATATATATATATATATATATATATATATATATATATATATATATATATACACTGCCAACATAATTGTCAACAATAAGTTACCAGAAAGATCCAAACTACATAAGACTAACCTTATTTATGAATGTACACGTGCCTTACAGAACTGCATTCCTGACAAAAATAAATTTGTGAACAATAATTATATTGGACATTTCAACTACACACTTATAAAGAAGACTTACTTTGCATCTCTCAGCTCATAGCTTAATTAGGACCCATTTAAATTCTCATGGAGACCTACCAACCCCCATTTGCAACATGTGTAGAAACATCATAGACTCATCAATATACAAAAAAATGGTTACAAATAATGGAAGTGTTAATAATAAAAAAAAAGAAGCCAATTCTCAATAAGATCAATTATGAACACAGACACAATGTGCTGATCATGTTCATAAATTAAAAACATCCCACCACTATATATATAAAAAAATCTACATATTCAATTAAATGAAAAAACACCCTCAATAATAGTTAATAGATTAGCTGAAAGCATATGGTCTAAAAATCATTTAGACTGTTCTTATACATGCTATGTCTAGAAAAAAGAAAACAATTCTATGGATGCAAGAAAAATTTAATAAAAAGCTTAATCGCAGTGCCTTGTCATCTTCAATGAAACTTGTATAAAAGATGGATTGCTGCCCAAATACACAATTATTTTATATCTATCTATCTATCTATCTATATATATATATATATATATAATTATTATTTATAAAAAAAAATTATAACATAAATATATTTATAAAAAATCACTACAAAATAGCCATTTTGTTTCAAAATTTTTATTTTTTTTCTATCAACATTGATGTTGAAGATAAAAAATTTTATGTTGAAATTTTTAAAATGGCTTATTTTTTAGTTTTTATAAATATATTTTTTATAATTTTTTTTTATAAATAATAATTATATCTGCTCTACTTTGTATTGAATACTTTTAAGAATAGTAATTGTTGGTTATTGGAATTCATTCCATATACAATTAATTATATACTTATTATATATATATATATATATATATATATATATATATATATATATATATATATATATATATATGTATAACACACACACACACAAGTTAATGAAATATTTAATTTTGTTTCCAGACCAAGATCGTAACTCAAAACACTTGTATCTCAAATCAATTTTACCCATAGAAATTAATGTGAATATTTCAGATCCATTCCAGGCCCCTAAAAATTCATCACTGTTCTTTATGCTTACTTTTTTCAAGACCCATGGTATTACTAAAGGAATTTTGCAAAATAACATCAAAAAAGACAACACAACAAAAATCCTTCCAGAGCAGAGGTGAACACATGTAATGTGGAAGCTTAACTGAAACTTGCTTTGTATCTCAAGGTAAAAATTCGGGCAATCTTTGACTAGTATCTCAAGATGTTACTATATATATATATATATATATATATATATATATATATATATATATATATATATATATATATAAGCGTACATAGAAGTCAACATTAGAGGCGACAGTCTGTTTCATGCTATATGCAATTGACAACGTGGCCTGACGATTGCATATAGCATGAAACAGACTGTCGCCTATGTGTCACTTTTATATTTACACACGCTCTATCTCTGATATTGAGCACTTTTATCCCATAAATATAGCACATCTTAAGACTATATTTCTTTATAATATATATATATATATATATATATATATATATATATAAATTATAAATTAATTGATTTAAAATATAGTTTTTTTTTGCTACACAGTTCTAACCATGTTTCAAAAATAGAAGCTAAAAGCTCCGAATTTAATTTTGTAATTAAATTAAAGACATTAGTTCCATTTCATCCTCAAGCGAATTTTAGAGACTCCCCTATTTTGTAAAAATAAAAATATCTATAAGAACACAGGATCATATATCTTACTGTCCTATACACACACACACATGCACACATAATTATATAGAAAAGATTTTTCTAAAATATTAACACCAAGGTCGTTCAAAGCCTTTCCTTCTATAACAAGGAAACAAAAAGCTTCAAGATGAAAAGATATCATAGCAATATTTTGTGGGGCTGTCCCAATTGTAGTTTCAGTCACAAGTGATTACAAACCTCACCCATTTTTTTTAAACAAAGCTACTTTGAGAGAGCTGGGAGATAGACCATACACACAGCTGAATCTATTTGTCACTCAAGACAAATTGCTGACATGACACAAAGTAGTGATTCCTCTTAGCTTTCTATATTGAGAGAATTTAACCCTTGACCTTTCATATCTACATTTGATTGACCATCAAGTTCTTTTTTCTTTTTCTCAGCCTTTTTCATACCCAAGAGTTTTACATTCCTTTATCTTTCATTGACTTAGATTTAATAAAGTATTAAGAGGTTTTGTTTATTCACTTATTTGTTCAAACGAAAAGGAAAAATCACAATTGAAATTTGAGAAATCAATCATCTGCTTTTCTTTTTGGACTAATAAATGACACAGACAAATTTTTTTATATGATCTGAAGAAAATATTTTAAAAGTTATTGTCTTAATTAATTATTATTAATCAAGCCTGATTCATTTCTACCCCTTCTTTAATTTCCAGTCTCAATAGAATTCCAAAGAGTCTCTCTGTCATTTTGGGTGATGAATTGTTTTCAACCCTAAACCCCTCTCTTGCAGATGAAACGACACAAGCTTCTCACTGCTCTATCACTGTTTCCATTAAAAGTATTCAGATGAACTATAATCCTTTAAATATAGGTTTTCCAACTAATATATCAATATGCAGTAATAATGGGGGATCTCTTTATTACTTAATAACAATAGGAATCCGATCTCCCACTTTATGTCCAGTAGAATTCTATATTACTGTATTTCCCATACACTAAGACATTTCAAGTGGTAAGATGCACACTTTAATTAGTTATGCATTTTTTGCATTTTTATGTCACGACAAATTATCGTATTTTGAACCTTTCATGAATTATTTTCCTTCCTACATCCACTCCTCTTGCTACTCTATCACTACTGGAAAGTGCCCAAACGAACTATATTCGTTAGTTCCACCAAATCTAATCTTCACAGCTAGGAACAGCCATACCCACTCACATTGTAACCAACTCTCATTCCCCCCCATATTCCATTGTAACCAACCCTCATTCCCCCAGTATTCCATTGTTAACCCCCCCATGTTCATTGTAACCAACCCTCATCCCCCATGTTCCATTTGTAACCCCCTGTATTCCATTGTAACCAACCCTCACCCCCCGTATTCCATTGTAACCAACCTCATCCCTCCGTATTCCATTGTAACCCCCTGTATTCCATTGTAACCAACCCTAATTCCCCCACATTCCATTATAACCAACCTTCATTTCCCCCATATTCCATTGTAACCAACCCTCATCTCCCGTATTCCATTGTAACCCCCCTGTATTCCATTTGTAACCAACGCTCACCCCCCCATATTCCATTGTAACCCCTGTATTCCATTGTAACCACCCTTATCCCCCGATTCCATTGTAACCCCCCTGTATTCCATTGTAACCAACCCTCATTCCCCCATATTCCATTATAACCAACCCTCACCCCACCCCCCTCACATTCCAGTGTAACCAACCTCACCCCCCCGATTCCATTAACCCCCCCTATTCCATTGTAACCAACCCCTTATTCCATTATAACCCTCACCCCCCCGGATTCCATTGTAACCCCCTATTCCATTGTAACCAACCCTTATACCCCCGTGTTCCATTATAACCAACCCTCATTCCCCAGTATTCCATTGTAAACAACCCCCATTCCCCCCCCATATTCCATTGGTGAGATGTAAGTTCCACTCAAGCATCTTTTCCCCACACACAACTGAATCTTTGGTTGTTATTAGAAATTATTATATAAACCTCCAACAGTTCCCTGTCTCACCTATTCACCAAGCAGGTAAATTACTTCAAAATTGTGTTATTGGGAAACCGAGGATGTCTCTCTCTCTCTCCCCCTCTCTCCTTAATAATGTTTTTCTTTTACTCATATTCTTTCACACACAGTAACCTGTAGCTTTATTGACTTGCTTGATGAAAAAAAGGTTTCTAACACTGTAAGCAATAGTTGGTATATCTTTGCTGCCATTTGTCTTTTCTCACGAACCTGATATTCCTTATGACTAGCAAGATTTCCTTACCTACATCTTGCTTCCCCGTCAACCCTGATCTTCAAAAATTTAAATGCAATGTCAAACGTTATCTTCTGTCTTCTTAATTCCTGTTCTGTTCTTGTCCTCTCTCCTTAATAGTAGTTTTTCTCATATTCTCTAACATTCAGTAACCCTTTGTATCTTAGTGGCTTTATTGCCTTTGATGTTCAAAAATATAAATGCAATGTTAATCGTTATCTTCTGTCTTCTTAATTCTTGTTCTTTTATTTTCCTCTCTTCTTAATAGTAGTTTTTCTCATATTCTCTAACACTCAGTAACCCCTTGCATCCTAGTGGCTTTATTGCCTTTGATCTTTAAAAGTTTTAAATGCAATGTCAATCGTTATCTTCTGTCTTCTTAATTCTCGTTCTCTTATTGTTCTCCCTCAATGTTTTTTTTCTTTCTCATATTCTTTCACACTCAGTAACCCCTTACATCCTAGGGACTTTAGGGTAAAATGATTAAAAAAAAATCTCTAATATGAAGAGAATACATGAAATGATATCTTTCCGCAGAAAGCTTTCTAAAAATCCTCTACCAGTGACATGCAGAGGTTTGGCGATGCCCGAGGGCAACTTCTTGATTGTATACTCCTAAGACTTAAATAGGGAGCCCAACTCTGGTCTTGCTTATCAATATACAGATCCACATTCACACCAGCTTGGACTGTAAGGCGCCTGTACAACAAAGTTAACAGATAATTTCAAATTTTAAAATCTAAATTTTTATTTCACTCTTTGACTGGATGCCCTCTTGATATGGATGTAGTTGTTGCATGCTCTTCCCCCTCACCATTCTGCATGCTACTTCCCTCTACAGCCTTAATTGAGGCATACAACTAAACCCAAACTATTACTCTTCAGTAATATAATACATGCAAAAAAAACAAAAGTCGAACAAATTCCCAGAAAAAAAAGTCACACTTCACTTTTTATTCTTGTCGAGAAAGGACACAGGCATGTCTGATAATTCTAATTTTAAAAATTTTTTCTCATCATGCTTCCATTTGGTCAAAGGGCCTCGGAATATACAATAAATATTATTAATTATAATATCAATATTATTATTATTTTTCTATCTCACAAATTTCTTTCATCAGTCTACTATCTATCTATCTATATATATATATATATATATATATATATGTATATATATTATGTCATTCGCAGACAGTACTGTTTCACTGTATCACAGCTCTTCAGTGCTACTAGACAACCGAATGCCTCAAGCCAGTATTGAAACCCAACCAATTTGGTGTCAGTCAGAGTTTCTACCACTGAGCTATCTTCATTCGACAGAATGAGGGAGCTAAATCAAGCAATTTGTTTTTACAAATGTAAACAAATGTCAATCAGCTGGAGTGCTCCATTCATTTTACTGAAGAGCTTCACATTAACGCAAGTGGCTGTTGTTTGTAGAATTAGCTTGTCAGTCAACAGTGCTCAATTGAAATAGATATATATATGTTTTGGTTGAATAATCTGCTCTTTACAATCCATTATGGAAACCTGCAGAAATCTTTAAAAAATTCATTTTTTATTCTTGTTGAGAAAGGACACAGGCATGTTTGATAATTCTAATTTTAAAAATCTTTCTCATCATACTTCCATTTAGTCAAAAGGCCTCGGAATATACAATAAATATTATTAGTTGTAATATCAATATTATTTTTGTTGTGTTTTTATCTCTCAAATTTCCTTCATCAATTATATTTACATATTGTAAGAAACATACGCAGTCTTTCTTATATATATATATATATATATATATAAGAAAGAAATCAGAGTTTCATATATATATATATATATATATATATATATATATATATATAAAAATCTAATCATGTATGTATCTATGTATGCATGTTCCTGAGATACAGCTTAAATGATACATGACCAATTTAGCAGCATATTGTACATTGAAGCCTTGCCAAGTGCAGTGCCAAATTTCATTAACATTAGACAAGGGGTTCTTGGGCTTGGCCCGTTTTTCTGTTTTTATAGCATTTTCAATAGGAAATTTAAATTAATTGAAATATGCATAACACAACATATATTTATACAATTCATTACACTAGATTATAACTTTTTTTTTTATAGACAACTATTTGAAAAGGTGAAGAGGCTATGTGTGTCACATGACTTGATGGTAAATAAATAAATGCACAGTGATTTGCTGCCATTGTGTATTTTGAAATAAGTGTGAGGAAGAAATAAGTATGCGTAATAAAAAATATACTTATTATTTTGAAAAAGACTACACCTGTTTTAAGTTATTACTCCCAATTTTCATGTAATGTTTTGATATTGTTCCAATGGAAAAATAAACCTGATTTTACCATCTTTAAAAACAAATTAAAAATTGTAATTAATAACAAGATTGATAATATTGTTATTTCATTATTTTTTATCAAGAACTGCTTTTAAAAGGAACACAATGGGTTTATTGGTGGTCTAGTATATATATAAAATGGAATGTTTACTCAAATATGATTCACATAAAATAATGTTTGAAGAAATAAAAATGTTGGATTAAAAACTAAAATCTATTAATTCTTTAGAAATTGCTTTGTTTACATTTCACACACAAAAAAGAGCAGATATAGCTTTTGAGAAAATCTGAATGAATGAATGTGCTTTGAGGCATATAGAACCTTGCTTGATTGTGAAGCTATCAGTGGCCAAGCAGTCAAAGGATGCTAAATCAAACAGCGGTTCCTTCTGTAATGAGGGATGCATATTTTCTTTAAGTTTTCTTTGAGTGTGCAGGCCACTAGATCAAATAAACTATTAAAAAAAAAAAAAAAATGAAAGGTTGACTATGAAGGAGTGAAATCTTGGATGCATTCATTTCATCTCTTCTTATTCATAACTGCATTGTTTCTTTCCAGATGCAAGGGTGGGTTGAAAAGTTCATAGGCTGACTATGAAGGAGTGATGCTAGAACTGTGAAATCTTGGATGCATTCATTTCAACTCTTCTTATTAATAACTGCAATGTTTCTTTCCAGGCTTGAACCTGTTCTCCGTTATAAAAATATTACCACAATACTTAAGCAATACATCGAAGTGAAACAAGTCTAAACACGTTCCAAAAGTAAACCTACAAAATTGTTAAGCAAACTGATTACCAGCAAGACATGTTTAAACATATCTTGCTTTCATCTAGAATGCTGAAAAATCATACAGAAATTTCTTTACAGCGAACAAGTCTAATATTCTAAGGAGCTGCTTAAAGATGATTTCTAATCAGATATTACAAATACAAATTTATTTTTTCTTTTTATCAACAAGTTTTAAAAACAATGGCAACATTAAAAACTCCAAACAATTTGACTTCTGCTACACAGAAGGCAGATGACAGAATTCCCACAGTTTACTCTAAGAGAACCTGGAATAATGTAAGTATTCAATTTAATTTTTTTAAACTCTAGCTTTAGAGAAAAAAAAAATTACAACTATATATATATATATATATATATGTATGTATGTATGTATATATATGTATGTATGTATGTATGTATGTATGTTTAATGTTTAGGCAGCATATTTTCATTCAAACAGATTTCATTGAATAATATAGGTTGCCTCTCTGTGCCTTTTCTATAAATACTTTCATGGTAATTGTTCGGATGAGCTGTTCACTATGGTTTCTAAACTTTTTGAATTTAAGCACAGTACTAGACTGGTGTCAAGATTTCATCAATTTACAGTTGTGTTGGCTAGGTGTAGTAGTAAGTTCTATGCTAACAGTTTCTTTTCTTGCACTTTTCGCTTGTGGACCTACCTTCAAGCAAAATTTAATCTGTAAAAATTGAAATGCAATGTCAATTGCTATATACTGTTCTCCTGATTACTCTTTCCTCTTCCTGCTCATTATTAATGTTTCTGTTCCTAATTTTTCCACACCCACTAACCCCTTGTGTCTTAATGGTTTTACTACCTTGCATGGGGTGATACTGATTAAAAAATAGTTTGTTTTTTTTAACCCAAATACTTTCAACCTTTTTCAAGATCATCTTCAGGAGTAAATTACAAAGACAAACTTATTGTAATTGCAATAAAATCTGCATTCAGATGTCATAGTGATTTTAAAAACATCCAGGAACATGTTCTGTTATAGATATTTTAGAATTTTAAATTTATCCATTGTAGTTATGGAATTTTTTTACAGTTATTGCATATGATTAAGTTGGTTGTGTTAAATTTAGTATAATATATAAGTTTGTTTTTGTTTACAATAAGTTTATCAACATGACCAGCTCAGCAAAGTTGTGACTGTATCAGGAATCTCAATTCTACCAATGTTGAATTTTGTGAGATCAGCATTGGACACCCTATCATCAAAAGTATAGCAACAGATCACACAGAGACAACTTTTGTGGAAGACATCCAGCTGACTGATGTGGGGCCTACATGGGATCCACAATTCAATATACTTAATAGCTCTGTTGTATTACATTGAGCACTGTTTTATTAACACAAACACTATATGATCTATTAAGTATATATTAATAAATATACATATTATCCCTCACCGATAACATGACTCGGAGTTTCATGCAAATTGCAATCTTCAGTTTATACTTATATATCAGAGCCGTGATATCAGTGAAGGATAATATAATTTTCCTCTAAACTTTAAAATGGCACCATTTTGATTTTTTAATATTAAATTAATTATTATTTTCAATTTTCTTCATATCTTTTTCTCAATGATGACTAGATTTTACTTTAGAGGAGAGAATAAGGAATGAGGTATTCTTCACTTTTAACATTCATAAAAATTATTCGTAATTTTTGTTTTAAGAAAAACAGTTGTAATAATATTTTTTTTACTTTTTAATACATTAAAAATAAAACTATTTAAAACTTTTAGGGTTTAGGTCGGTAGTTTTATTTTAAGGGTTTATAAAAAGATTGTGGGGGTCCATTTATTTATTTAAAATGTTTGTTTTTTTTACAAGCATATTTTTATTTAACTAAAAACGATGTCCTTTCAAAACAAAGACGATTTTTTAGCCACTTTCATTTTTCTTTAATGTACACATGGTTGTTCTTATTTATCAGGGTTTGTTTCAAATAAAAATTCCAAGCCCCAGTCAGTACCTCTCCTTCTGGGGTAGGGTTAAATGCCCGGGGCCTGAAGTGTACCCCAAAAGAGAAAGTGCCCTCGGGGGCTTAGGCAATTTTTCCGCAGTATTGCTGTTCTTAAACCCACTTTAAACCTCGACCTTGTGTCATACCCGGTAGCTACGTGGACGCTCTGGTGTAATCATGGAGTGGTATCTTGTTGCTTTTTCGATTCATTTTTATTTTTTATCATATGTGTTACTTTTTTATTTTAAGGATAAAGAAAGAAATATGCATTCAAGTTATAAACATGTTTTTCTAAATAAAGTATTTTATCATCTTATATAAAAAAAAAAAAAAAAGATCGAAAAGGGAACGCATTTAAAATATCACGTGAAAATTGTCCAAAGATGGCTGCGAAGCAAAGGCTCGAGCCCGAACGAGATTTTTGTCTTCCATTATAAATTGTAAAATATTATCGCATGAAAAGAGTAAGAATGATAATTGTCTTTAAAAAAACAAAAACAAAATTCATTAAAAGTAAAAAGAAAACAGAGTGTTTATTTATTTATCCACATCTTCTGAAGCAATAATTTTCGAAACCATGTGGCCCACCCACCCTTTTTAATTTTTCTTAAAGTACTTACCGGTAAGGACCACAACTCTTTATATTGCTAAAAAGAATAATAATATTTATATATGTACGTTAAAAATATTATTTAATTTTGAAAAAATCATTTCAGACCATCGATCATTTTTCGTTTATTGATAAACAAAAACGTAGAACACGTGTTTTTTGTTCGTGCTGTAGCGCGAGGCTTAAAAAGATTGCTTAGAAAAAAATTACACTCTTAAATTAATGAAATTATAAAAAAATTTAAATTTTAAGTAAAAACTATATCTACCTGGCAGAGCTTTCACGTGAACCATTCCAATTATAACAGAATTAGATCGGCGAAAAAGTTGACGAAACATTTCCATGTTTACAACAAGATAAGTATTAAAAAAAACGAAACTTGTATACGGTTGCTACTTAACTACTAATTATAAAAACTGATATAAATATATTTTTAAAATCTTATACAAAAATTATTAATTTTTTAAATTAAAATGCTGTAATGAAATATATATTTCATAATTAGTTCATTTTTTTTATTTTATTTCCTTCCAATTAAAATTAGACGTATTTTTATTGTATCATTTTTATCTATTCTATGTTTCCATACTTGAAATAGGATAACTTTTACTTCTAACTTGGTTACCATAGAAACGAATATGGCGTGGCTGCCGACCAATGAAATGTTACTCAAATAATGGAGATGATTAAGCTTCCTGTAATGTAGAATTGGCTTGATTTTTTGTACAGAAGTCTCGCATTTTCATACCGCTTAACTTTCAAAACTATCGCAATCGATTCCTTAGATCATACGCTATCGAACGACATGCAACATGCCAGGTGTTTACTCTTTGTTTAGGAGAAATCATTTTTTCTATCCAATGGTCTTACTAAAGTCGCGAGATGTAAACTTCCTCATGTAGTCGATCATTCATTGCGATACAAGCTTGTTTTAAATGAAAACATACAAAAAAAACGCAAAAAATTAAATTTTATCTTTTTTGAAAATGAATTTGTTTTTTAAAATCTATTTTTAGCCTTTTATTTTTCTTATAACCTCCTTTCTTCAAGCATACCTCAAACTCGATTCGAGTTGTTTTCGCTCAGATAGCACTAGACTAAAACTTCTGCAAAAGTAAGGTTATAGATTTGCCAAGATATGTAATATTAGGAATTTTAATGAATTATTGCAATTTTTTTCTTTTGAAAACTATTTACATGCGCAATGAGAAAAATGAAATTGGCGGGACTACTACTCAGGAGTTAGTCCTTGTTCATTAGGCTTTTCTCTGTTGACGGGCTAGGACATGTCGAATAGCTCTTAAGCTTTTTCTGCAGAATCAAGCCTCCTCTAAAAGACTTAGTTTTTTTTTCTAGATTTTAGTTATATAAGGTGAGAATCAACAAATTTAGATATTTAAATTTTAATAATTGTGTTGCGAAGAAACTAAATATGAATCAATTTAAAAAAAAAAATTAGGGCTGAACTTTAAGTACTCATACTGTTTATGGATGGGACAGTATCAGAATTATTGAAGTCTATGAAAATCTTAATCCTTATTTTATTTCAGCTATAATAATATATTTAAAAAAAAAAAGAATATATATTTTTTTAATTAATTTCGTGATAAGGCAAATTTGGTTGAAATGCAACTTCGGTTAGTTAGGATTTTAAAATGAAATTCACAGGAGTTGATTTCAAGATTTATACTTCATTTTGGCATCAAATTATGATCATATTTTACTTATTTATTCTTATTTATTTTCCTCTCCTAAATAATTCATTCCCTATTTTAATGGAATTTTCTTTTTTTCGCAGCATTCCCGCTCTCGCGGATCGACTATGCCCTGCCGAAGGTAAGTTGATGATTTCTCTTTCGTTTTATAACCAAGCCGCCATTTTCTGCATCTTTTCGTCTCTCGTAGGCTAAAGTCGTTCCATCCGGACTGGATTTTCTAAGTTGTTCTTTCTTTTATTTCAGGTCAAAAACAAAATCTGCAATGAGCAATGCATCTACAAGCGATAATAGAAAAAGAAAATCCCAAGATGTAAGTATTTTTTCGGAGTTATTCGATTTCTTGCTGACAGTATCTTAGGAATTTGTTCATCTCTCTTTGTTCGCCCACAAGTTAAAGTTGATTTGGTATAAAATATGTCCTGACTAATATATCTTTTTCCCCCTTGTCTAGAATGTCCAAATAGCTGTAGATAAAAGGAGAAGGCAGTTCCAGATTCAGGTAAATATCTATATTTTACTTATTGGATGCCTTTCTGCTTTTTAGGTCGCTTTTTTATTCTGAGGTACTGTTCGTTATCGTAAAAAAAAAAAGAAAAAAAACTTAACACTGGTTGGCGCCTTGTCATTTTTAAAGTTTGTTTTATTAAATATTTGGCAATGTATATGACGATTTTTTTAAATAAAAGTGTAAATTGGGACTATAAATTAACTTTGATGTCATTGTTTTGAATTCAGAGTCTTGCTAAATATTTTTTCTGATTTTTTTTTTTTTCCCTGTCTACATTATTCCTACTTAACTTAGCCCACCATATCGTGGCAAGTTATTATTACTTTTTTACTACTATGGTCATAAAGTCGAGGAACAAGTCTTATGAATTTATATTTAGGAATTCATCCCCCACTTAATAACCACATTTAAAATTTGAATTTCGAGACCCCCCCATTCATCTCACCTAAAGACTCACCTTTTTTTTCATAACCTAATTTTAATTTTAAGATTGTCATAAAAATTTTTCCCAAACTTTTTAAACAACAAAAATACATTTCACTTTTCGTTCATTCATTCTCATTCATTTCCAAAAACTTGGAAATTGGATTTCTCATTTTTTTTAATATTTCGCAAGCTAGTTATTTAACAAATAATTATAATATAAAATCATTGTTTTTTTTTTTTTTTAGATATGCGCATGTTTTTCCACAACTGAAAAATTTCGGTTAAAAAAAAAAAAAATATTAAATTTTTTTTTTTTAATTATTATATTTCAAAGACTATCCAATTTCATGTTAATCGAAGACTCTTTCTTTTTTAATTAATTGCTTTGTTGTCGATTTCTTTCCTTTCTCCTCTTGATAAATTAATTTTCAAACAAAACTAAAGTTTTCATCAATCTGTTGTAAAAACTATTGTTGCATAGAAAAAAAAAGTTCTTTCTTAATTTAACACCATTTCTTAATTTTTTTTTTTTTTTAAGTTAATTTGCGTGTGTGCCTAAAGTCTTTTACACAAAATTGTGTACGTGTGCCAAAAAAAAAAAACTCTTTCTGTCTGTCTCTCTTTTTCTCATGCCCACCCCACTTTCCAGCTGTATGTAAATTGGAAATGAGGGTCTCTCTCTTCTCTCTCTCTCTCTCTCTCTCTCTGACTGGAGACAGCTGCTGGGTTCTCTTAGAGGTTTTCAGCCTTTCATGTCCTGATTACCTTTCGATTTTATTTATTTCTTTTTGGCCCACTTCCCGCGGAAAAAAAAGCATTATTAGTAAGGCTTTGTTTTCCCTGATTTTTTATTTCTTCATAAATTGATATTATTACCTCATCTTGCTTTGAAAGCGCGCTTTATCTAAAGTGGGGGGGGGGATAAATTAACTAACTACTTTCTAGTACAACCCATATCATCTTTTTTTTTTTCTTTCTTTTATTTCTCTTCCTTTTCTTCTCCATACCTTGTTGCTACATAATTTCAAATTTCGTTACTGCTTTTAATTTTTTATTTTAATCTAATTCGATTTTTTTCTGGGTGGGGGTGGTAACCGTTAGATTACTTTTTTTTTTTTTAATTAAATCTGTTTTAAATGTTTTTTACTATGTGTAACTTAATTTTTTTTTTCTTTCCCCTCCACCTTTTGTTTCTCAGAATCAGTTTATTTCAATTGCTGGTGATTCCTTGATTGAAAGTAGTTCGATAATCCCAACACTCGAAGAACTTCATACTGCCGGAACCAGTACGCGTTCGACCCCATCTGAACTCTTTGGGGGCTCCCAGTTTCGCTTCCAAAATCATTTTATCACCCCTACTCGGCATTCACCTCTGCCCAAGCTGAATTGGGCAGACTCGAAAGAGGTATGGCGAGTTATGATCGAAAAAGAACTACATTATGCCAAAGATCCGTCAATGTTGGAAAGGCATCCATCGTTGCAGGCAAAAATGAGAACCATTCTCTTGGATTGGTTAATTGAGGTAAAAATGACTGGGTTCTTTACCTTTTACAACATGATGACATTTTTTTTTTTTTTTTTTTTTTTTTTTTTTTTTAATAAATTTGTCATTATTTTTTACTATTTTAAGCTCTAATTTTTTGGTCTTCTCCTGGTTAACCAGTCTTTTCTTTCTTTTTATTTTCTGTAATATCATTTTAATTAAACTTTATTGAATTATAAAATTTGAATTATTAAATTATCTCAGGAATTAATGGATTTTTTGTTTATATTCTGGCATTTCTTATTACTATTTGGTGAATGCGTGTCTTTGAGTAGACATCTGTTTTTAATCAGTTTAATTTTTTGCCTGCCCGCCTCATTGGAATACCCCCAGATTTTTTTTTTTTTTTTTTTTTTTGCCTGCTCAAATGCATGCATGTCCACACAATTTTCTGCATGCAGCAAAAATAAAAATTTGCACTTTGAGATTCATCAACTTAGCAGCCATTTACAGATTGGATTTATTCCTAAATTTTTTTTTACCAGTTTGAACCCTGGCAAGTACGGCTCCCCCTACCCTGAGCACTTGTTGTCCATGACTCTAGGCAGTATAACAGCTGCCCAGGTATATGCCCTTTTACACTGTAGTCACTCAGGTTCAAAGGGTTAAAGTAATTCAAATTAAATTCAGTTGGTAAGCTATCTCCACCCCCACCCTACCAGCACACGTTTTTTTACTTTTCCATCCTCCACAATCCAAGTTAATTGCAAGCTCTAATCTTTTCAGTGACTTTGGTATGCACTTTGCTAGGGGCTATATAGTTTTGAATTCTTTCCCTTAGACTGGTTGCCAACAATTGATAGAGCCCAGTCTTGCTATTTGATCCATATTTGGGGGAGAAAGAGCTGAATTCACATGTTTGCAAGGATATTTGTGCAAAAGTGAATGTAACAAACTGATTTGTCTTGCTTAATAATGCAAAAATGCATTGCAAATATGCACCCTTGACCCTAACCCTACCAGATTCATTTATTCCCTTGCTTTATGCTCCAACAATGGCCTTCAGGATCTCCTGAATATTTGAATACCAATGGCTATGATATCAAAATTTACTCATCTATCAATAAATTGCTAATTCCAAAGTACACATCAAATCATATATTGCTTGATTTGATTCAATAGCAAAATACTCTTCCATGTGTACTCTTAGGTTCAATTGTAAACAAATACATGTTTGGCATCTCAGCTTAACATTGAGGAACTAGTTAACATTTGTACTAATTAAACCAGCTTCTTAAATTTGTGCAAGACTAACTGTAACTCTTTTTTTATCATAGGGTTTACATCTGTTGAGATAATTATGTAATTTGAATTTTGGAACCTCTGACTTTGTTGTATCATTGCTTTTTTTAATTGATTTAAACCTTTGTCGAGATTAAACGAGTAAAAGTACAGGTGAAATGGATAAATTGTTGCCTCTTTTTTCTTTTCTTTTCTTTTTTTTTTTTTTTTTTTGTGCATGCGCATTGTTCTTGATTTTGTCAACTGCACACTAGAATAGGGTCAATTGGGCACCATCTATAACAAGAGCTCCATGATGCAATTTAATCTGCCTGAAATTTGGAAACGAAAGAGTTGGATGAGTCTAATAGTGATTATGGAGGGGCAGTATCTGATCATTCTGGTAAGAAAAGAACTCACAGATTTGTTGGTGAACATCTCAAATGTGACACAGGACTATATAGAGTGCCTTGATGAGGTAGTGCTGTCCTGAATCAAGAGTAGCTGCTGGAAGACCCTATGTCTGGCTACAGGACTCTGCACCATGCCACACAAGCAGGAGAACCCAGCCATGGCAGCTAGATAATTTCTGTGATCACATCACTCTTTACATTTGACCATCTAACTCCTAGTCTGCAAGCCTCTTGATAATCATGTGGGTCAACAAAACTCATTGTAGCACCAAAGATGAGCTGAAGTCAAGGATCATGGTAGCATTCACCAACTTAGAGATATCCAGAAGAGTTGCAGGAGTTCCAAAGTCACCTGGAGACCATGGTTGGTGCCAATGGGAATTATATTGAATAAATTTACTCTAAGATTTTTGCATAATTCTGGTAAATATATCTTTTAAAATAAGATGTTGGTGGTGTTTTCATTTTTGTGTCATTTAGACAACAATTTATCCATCACATTCTGTATAAATTGCTCAGCAAATGTCATTTTAGCTGTTGAAGATTTTAATTGGTTTTGTATTACTTGATCACTGTTTTGTTCCTTCAAGAAAAAAAATGTTGAAAATTGTTCTTTCTTTTTAGGTGTGTGAAGTCTATAAACTACATCGTGAGACTTACTATCTTGCTCATGATTTCATTGATCGTTATTTAACCAAAGAGAGAGATATTATCAAACATCAACTTCAGCTGATTGGAATTACAGCGTTATTTATTGCAGCAAAACTGGAGGTAAATTGCCACCTTTTCCTGTTTGAAATCTGCATTGACTGTGAAAAAGGTTTCATTCCACTCAATTCTGCAGAAAAGTGATTTACCCTGTTTATAATTTAATATTATGGAAATGACCATGGAACTTAATTATGCAGTAAAAGGGGTTAATAATTAAAGAATGAATATTATCAGTGACCTATTAAAGAATTTCTACACACCAGTTCAGAAAGTTCCGATTTGGAGTTTAATTTTCCGTGTAATATAATTTTCAACACTTAATAAAAAAAATTATTTAAATATTTTAAACTTTACTATGAATAAGGATTTGTCTTAACTAGAACTTTGCCAAATTTTTTGGGGGGATTGGTGACTTTTTTTTTTTTTTTTTTTTAAATCAACCAAGCCAAATAAAGTAGAACTTAAAATGTTTATAAAAAGAAAAAATTCAATGAAAAATTTAATTGATAATTAACAAATATTATAAGTGACTTATTCAAGTGTTTCGGTATACCAGTTTGGAAAGTTCTTGTTTTAGGATTTAATTCCCTATTATATAATTTACACCATTTATCAAACAACGTTATTTAAATATTTTCAAACTGAAATAATTGTTACCTTAATTGGATACTGCCAAGTAAAAGAAAATGAAAGCAATTTTATCAGGGTGATAAATGTTCCTCAACTAGAAATTGTCATGCTTCAAAAAGAATTTTTGGGCAAATACTGAAGTTTTGTTAGTCAAGCTAAATATAGAAAACAAAATTTATATAAAAGTAATTTAATAAGAAATTTAGTTGATGATTCAAGAAAGATTATTGGTCACCCACCAGTTTGTGTTCATGTAGTTTACCATTAGTTCACACACACACGCACACACACACGTATTTAGATATCCAACTTTTTATGTCTATATTTAATTTTGTTCTTTTGATGAAAAAAATTTGTTGGGAATATTTTGCAGGAAATCTACCCACCCAAATTGGCTGATTTTGCATATGTAACAGATGGAGCCTGTTCAGAAAGTGAAATATTGGATCAAGAATTAATTATGTTACAGGTTAGTTTTTAATTAAACTGTTATTAAATATCCAATTTTTAAAGTTCTTTCTTATAGTATGTATATTTATTAAATGGTGTCTAGTTTTCATTAGGCAATTTATTTTATTTTTTTCCCTTTCAATTTCAGATCTTAAAATGGCATCTTACGCCAATTACGGTAACAGCATGGCTCAACGTCTATCTCCAAATTGCTAGTTTGGATAAAATCTCTGAAGATTCTTTTGAATTACCTCAATATTCGTCACATGCATTTGTCCAAATAGCACGGGTAAGTTAGATTTACAATTTCATGTTTAGAAGGGTGACACACTGAAAGCAGTGACTCAGCCAAATTAAATCTTGTGTAAAGAGATGTCCTATTTATAGTGACTTTTCTAAGTGTGGTGCAAGGCCAAAAGTATGGGAGCACCCAGTAATGATTGAACTTACTATTCAGTCATCATTAATTTCTCAAGACAAGTTTGCAAACCATTCATTATACGACAACGGAGTGTCCAAAATGGGGATTTGCTAAGTATAGCTCAGATGTGACACAAGACTGACAGTGTGTGGCACCTAGTGAGGATTGAAACTGCTATTCAGTCAATTGATCTAGCCATATAAGCTTGCTAACCATTACACCAAGTCAAAATACCGAAGATGTATCATGTTTATGATAGTATTAAAAAGTACTTTTGTTGAACTTGCTTTTGTTCATTCAATTTTTTTTTTTTTTATAGGAGCAAATTAGATTGTAATCTATTCTATAATGTAAAATGTGGCTTGGAGTTACTATTGCGTTGATATAGTAACAAGCAGCATTACTGTCCACTAATAAATGAGCCTGACTTAACAATGGAATATTAGTGAGTAGGGGAGATCAAGCTGCTAATACATAAATTTTTGTTTTTGTGGTAAACTTGTTTTGCGCATCTTTACTTTTTAATGATTTTAAAAAGCAAAAATCTTCTTGGATATGATGGATGTTTAGATAATTACTACTGAAACTATTACTAATGCAATTGAAAGATTAAATGTTTTCTTCTTTTTTTATGTTGTGGGTCATGTTAGCTTTCTTTGAGTGGTTCTAATTTTAATGATTTAATTATCATAATTTTACATGTAATAATCATTGATTGTATCTAAAATTCCTGAACAGAAAATCTAATCAGTGTGATAACAATTACATTAAATATAACATTTTGTACAGGTAAAGTAATTATTGATAATTTTAATGAGATGCAGAATTTACATTTAATAAATTTAATTCTACAACTTTTTCTTCCCCATGACAAAACCTAAGGCAGCTGACCCCAAACTAGAACTTGGTTATCACCCATAATGTATTTAATGTGTGTAATAATTGTATTTTTATCACTTTTAAGTCTTAGCATGAGCTATGAAACTTTCTAGCAACCAAAGTTTAGGAATTAAATACATTTGTTTTTGATAATGGTGTAACTTTACTTTTTTCTATTTTCAGTTGGTTGACATTTGCATGTTGGATATTAGCAGCTTGAATTATAGCAACAGTGTGATTGCAGCCTCGGCTCTTTACCACAAATCCTCATCAAATGTGGTTCTCAGTGTATCAGGTAGGGTTTTGTTTTGGTGCAATCCTGATTTAATATGTGCTTTTGAATTTGATTACGTATCACAACTTACTTGTGAAAATGTCTCTTATGATAATTTAGTATGTGGCTTGTGTGCACTTTGTATGTTTTTGCTTTCAAATGAAATTAAAATCATTTCCTGTACCTTGACAGAAAAGGTAACCACTTTCATTTTATTGTTAGGCATTACCAACATCTTTTTGGTGCAAGATGAAACGGTTTTTGCATCTTGTAACATTTATGTTGATAAACAGCTTATGAGGTGTTTTTTTTTTTTTTTTTTTTTTTTATTGAAATGTTGTTCTTGGCATCAGGATCTGTGATTAGTGTATTGGTTATGAGTGCAGAAGGTGGAATTGGCAAGCAAGGTTCAAATTCTGGCCTAATCTGTAGAATTTCCTTCTGCACTAAATGCCTTTTGGGAAGTCGAGAATCCCTCCCTTTTCTTTCTCTCTCAGCTCTGTGTTCAAAATTCGAGGCCGGTTGGGCTTCTATCTTTTGGATGACAACCAAGAAGAAAAACTCTGCATTCTGAGCCAGGAATGACTTTGCTAATATGCTCATGAAAGTATGGCATTTCACAAAGAAGGTAATTTGGATGGAATCCTAAAGGAATAATGCAGAAAGAAAACAAATGTTTTGTTAGTTTTGTTTTTTTGGTTTTTTTTTTTTTTTTTTTGGTTTTTTTTTTTTGTTAACTGAAATAAGCATTTTAGATAAAAAATCTTATTACTGGCTTTGTTGTTGTTGTTTCAGGACTTACAATGGCTGACCTACTACCCTGCATCAGATGGATGGAACCCTATGCTCTGACTGTCCAAGAAGCTGGGCCTGTTGAATTAAAGTTCTTTCCAACAGTTCACATAGATGACAGTCACAACATACAAACACATGCTGTTGATTTGGAACTGTTGGTAAGTGGTCTTGTTTTTGTTTGTTTGTTGTTTTTTTTTTTTACCTACTTGAATACCATCCAACTTATTAAATTTTATTTATTTTCCTAGGAGAAAGCACATACAAGAAGAGAATTGGAAGCTGCAAAGTGTGACAACATTCAGACAGGTGCAGAAATGAATTTGCTTACTCCACCTTTGAGTGACAAAAAGGGCAACTCTTGTGATAATCTCATGTGTTCGTCTTCAACACCAAAAAGCAAGCATTCTGAAACCACATCAAATTCCTCTCCTTGATCTAAGATGGCTGGACCTCACAAGTTTTATCTTCATGCAGCTCAGCAGCACCCCAACCCACCCCCCCCCTTTTTTTTTTTTTTTTTTTTTTTTTTTTTTCCCCAGTGATAATTGGAGGGCACTTCTGGATCATTTGAATGGGCTTCTCCCCACCCTTTTCCTATCCTCTCATATATACCTTTTATATCCAGGTGACCATATCAGTTTTCAAAACCAGTGCCTTATCTTAATTAATCTGCACAACTGCTGACTATTTGTGTGATAAATGCATTATGAAAATAAGTTTCTTGAACTTGAGGCTTTCAATTCCAAGAGCTTTTTCTTTTTCTTTTTTCTTTCTTTCTTTCTTTTTTTTTTTTTTTTTTTTTTTTTTCTCCCTTCTAGTTTCCATTCTGGCATGGAAATTGGTTGTGTAAGAATGGAAGTGAACAAAAAAGAGAATACATTTGCTTCAAAATTGCATTTAACCTGGCAGGGGGAATTAGTTTGGGTGTTATTGCTTGCCCAAGTAAACTGTCACCTCCCTATTTCTTTATCCCCCTCTCTTGCACGTATATGCACAAGATTCAGTTTTGTCCCACTAAGCTGAAGTGGGTTATTAAATATCTGGATTACCTGATCAAATACAGTGGCAGCCCTCGTTTTCATTGTCTTGTTTCAAAGGCTTGGAAATTTTGGTTTCTAATTTTTCAAATATTTGTTGCACTTTTAAACACTTGAAGAGCAATTAGGCATGAGAGACAAAGTGTGCGCACACATGTGCCCTTGAATGACAAGATGGTAAATCTTAATGCCATATTTTGTTCAAAGAAAGGAGTTTAGAATTTTTGACCAAATAGTATTGCAAATGACCTTTTCCATCTTGTCATTCACTTAGCCACTCTTGTTCATTTTATATATATATATATATATATATATATATATATATATATATAAAAAATTTATATTCCATAGTGTTAAAGTTGTTACTGTGTAAATTTTAGCTACCTGTTTTGTTTTTTGTTTGTTTTTTTTTTTTAAATTTTGTCTTAAAATGAAATGAATTTGGGATGTGCAAATTCACACAATTGAAAAGTCATAATTTTTTTTTTTTTTTTTTTTTTTTGCATTGTTTGAAATCACTGTAAACTTAAGTTTAAACTGATTTTAATTATAACGCCAATTTCATAGAATTTTTTTTTTTCCTAGCAAGGAATCTTAAGCTTTTAAAAGCTTAGAATCTACTTATTTTCGCTTCAAAGTCTTAACATCTGTTGGTAAAAGTTTTTTTTTTTTTCTCTTTTTTTCTCTTTTTTTTTTCCTATTTTAATCAGTAAGTTGTTAATCTGGCATTGTTATGGCTTATATCACAAATTCCTTTTTTCAAAAATGCCATAATCCTTGGATATTTGAAATCATAGCAACATCATGAAGGATACTATTCAAAGTATCCATTCTTGAAGTATTTAGATTATAACAGAAATTGGTGAAAATGGAATTTGTAAGGCTGAAGCCAGATGTATGGAATAAATTGCTCTTCAGTGTTGAAGTTGGCATCTTTTATTTTGTGTTATATAACCAATGGCTTGTCCATAATTGAACAAAAAATGATATTGAAGGGACAACTACTGTTGTTTTTGTTGTTGTTTAAGATTGGTTGGGAAGAGAAAAGGGTGTTTGTTGGAACTGCCAAACTTAACCATGGGATTCTCTAATGTTTTATCTTTTTACTGTGATCATTTTGCTAATTTGAAAAATATATTTTAACAAGTAAATAAGCTGACTTGATTTAAGTTAATCTGTAAATACCGAAGTGTGTTTGGATGTTGACGCGCAAGGGCATGTAGTCTGTATTGTTTGTACATAGAAAATAAACCTGATATTCGATTTGTTACATTAAAGATCAAATGTTCAGTGTTTGGGCAGAAGTGGGTAAGATGAATATTTCACAACCATAAGCATTCAATTTTAAAGAGACAAGAATTGCAACTGTTTTGGAATGATTGTAAAAGAAGGGAACTGTTTTGTAGGGCATTTCTGCTGTGGCTACACAATCAATTTCTTATATCCCTTAGGGGGTTGGTTGTTGCTGTCATAGATTCAGTTTGTAATATGGATCTGTTTTAAAGCTCCTGAAATACTAAAATTTGGTTCCAATATCTTGGATTTGTATATACTTGGAATCTGCCTCCTCCATTTTATATGATATGTATTTTTCTAATTTCTTAGATTAGCTGCAACACTGCCAGTCAATAGAGCCTGGTCATCCCTACAGTTAGATAAAAAAGAATCTATTTTTTACATGTCTGTTAGCACTTGTCATATTTCATTTTACTAAATTTATATGTTTAAAAAAAAACGGTTGCAGTGGATTTTGCTGGTTAAAATATCAGACATTTAGGCTGTCGTGTGTTGAGTTTGATTCTAGAAACTGTTGCATTTGTAGACGGGGTTTCTCTCTCGTTATTACCAACAATATATCATCTTGGGAGGTATATAGCTTAGTGTTATGACTTTGGCCTTTAATATGAGGATGAGCAACTTAAACTGTTCATGATCGGAACCTCCATATCTACCTCAATACTGGATAATATTTTGCATTGGCCACAAATTTTGTGTTTCTAAAGATGATTAAAACATCAGTTTTAAGTTATGCATTATATAAAGACAAGTAATTTGGTTGGATACGAAATGCTATCCAATTAATTACCAAGAGGGAGCTTAATTTTATATGCCATATATACTTGGGCATCATGCTATTTCGAGGCTAATTTTAAGGGGGGTCACATCATAAATGAGATGTAAAATTAGTGTATCTACTGCTGGCCTACGCTGTTGACCAAACTATATATCCATTTACTCTAGTTAAATTAGCTTCAAAATTAGGTCGCATGATTCACTAGTATATACGGTACTTCAAAAAATTACTTAGGTCTGATAAAATATAGTAAGGTTCATCCTTAACTAGATGTTTTATAACAAAAACTTTTATTTTGATATAAAAAAAATGGTTCTTTTATTAAATCAAGTAACAGAACCACTTGTGATATTTAAAAAAAAAAAAAATTTTTTTTTTTTTTTTTTTTTTTTTTTTTACATGAATGAGTATGTGTAAATGTCAGGATCTTACAAGTTTCCAAAAATTGTGTGACTGTTCCTTTCGTGCTTTTTCACTGTATTCTGTGTCTCAGATTTTTTTTTTTTTTTTTTATATTGAATAAAAGTATGTATTCATATTAAGGTGTTTTATTTATTAAACAATGGTTTTCTTTTCCATATTTGCCTGCTAAACATTCTTTTGTAAAGAATTTCTCCTTTACAAGGACTTTCTTATCCAATCTTGGCTTTTCTTTTTCTTACCCTTCCCCCCTGCCCTCTCCAGTCTCACCATATGCAAGGCAGAAAGACAAAGGGTTATTGGGTGTTGAAGAATTAGAAACATTGATGAGCAGGAGGACAGTGGATAGCAATTGACATTGCAGAATAAAATTGGCTGGAAACTATGGAACCAGAAGAGTTCCAGAAGTGAAAAAAAAGAAACTTAACACTGAACTTACTATTATATCCAACCAACTCAACTAAACTGAGATCTTGATGCCAGTCTAGTGTTGTGCTTAAATTCAAAAAGTCAAGGTGCCATAGTGAAGAGCTCATCTGAACATTTATTATGAAAGTATTTATAGAAAAGATATGTTGAGAAAGTGACTAAAGCTGAGTTGCCAGATCAGGACTGATAATATTGCATGTTCTTTGGATTTTATCAAGGCAAATAGCAAGAACCATTGGGTCATACATGGCTGCAGCATTCTAAGCATGGAGGAACTGTAGACCTATGGATTCTGGGAAGAAAAATTGTCTTGCACAACACAGTGAATCCACTTTCTTAGCTGCATAATTATAAAACTGAAATGGAAGAAAAATTGTCAATATCACAAGATAAATATTCCCTTGGAATCTGAGCAGCAGTCAAAGAGAACCCCCCAATTTTTTTTTTTTTTTTCTCTTCAATCCAAGCAAGGGCATAAAGCCAGTAAGAGGTTATTGAGACAGGGGACATCAAGGAGAGAAAAATAATTGGCATTGGGTTTAAAATTTCAGTGGAAACCAAGAGGCCATAAGAGTTCCACAAGTGAGGGAAAGAAATTGTTAGCCGAGAACTGGCTTCCTATCTGATACTAGGTACCAGAGAGAATAATTGCTATGAAAATATAGAAAAGGCACAGGGAAGCTACATTGCAGCAGTAGGAAAGTGAAGTTGAGATGTCAGGTCAGGACCAATAACATTGCAGATTCTTTTCTTTTTTTTTTTTCCTTATCAAGAATCTCTGCATAGAAGCACCAGACCAGATGTGACAGGAATATTCAATGAACGAAGACTTATAAATGTACAAGATGGATTTTGATGAAAACAACAATCCAGTAAACGAACTTAGCAATTCATTTAATATAATCTATCCACTTCATGTCAGGAGGTACAATGTGTGACTCTTCTGACAATTAGTGTCAGTCATGTTGGTTAAAGGCAAAAGAATCTTCTCTTAGACAAACGAGCGACTTTATTTTGAATATCGAAGCATACTAATGGGATTCACTGGTTGGTATTATCACATTTTAATTTTTGGCAAACTTGGACCTTTGTGTCTGCAAAAAAATGTCAAAAGGACAGTTTTTCCCTTGACACCACTATTATTTTAACTACTTTCCCTCCTCAGCAGTGTTTTATTGTTTTAAAAGTGATTGGAATAAAACAAATGTGAATTTATACATTTTCTTTGTTCTATAAGATTGTTTATCTGCACTGTTGATGACTGTTTATTGGAATGGTTGGTAAAACATTGGTTAACTACCAACTGATTCAAACTATAAAATGGTAAATAAGAATTTACTTATAGTTAATTGAGATTTTAATAATTTAGTAAATGTTTATAAATTTATCAATAAAAATTTTTGTATTTCTTTATAAATTGGTAAATGATAAACATTGAATTGTACTAGTTTTAAGAATGTTGTAAATGTAAATA